ACAGATTATTAAACTGGGAAGGAGAACTCTCATATACATCTTGTTTACAAAAACTGAAGATACATCTTCCCCTTGAAAGCGTCTTTCTGAACTTCCCTGGATATTCACTGACTGTTGCTCAAATTCAAGCAAATGCTACTCTACAAATTCCGTAATAGTCCTCACTTTTCAAAAGACGCGAAGCGGATTTACAAGAAAACATACTACTCACATGCCCCATCAGTAGCATCCACCGTTCCACCCATATCATCAGTTTAAAGTACGGGGTTTGTGAGCAAGGCGGTTGTGTTTAAGTAATCAGAGTGGCTATCAGACATAAACTTTCTAGGTCGTACCTAGGAGTAAAAGGGACAGATAGTGATTGCATGCAACTAATGCGACGAAAGCTGTTCAAACTGAACAATTTCCATGGGAGTAACAGAGAGGTTTCGCTGCACGTTTTTGGTTAAAAATCCGAAATGGTGCTGGCTTTGTTAGCGATGATGTGTAAACACATATGCTGGGTACTGTGCAGCCCACGAGAAAAATCTGTACAGCGATGCAGTGAAGGTGCATGAACCAATTCCATATGTAGGCTGTCAGTTCCGAGGCAGATAAACAAACGCCTCAGGTTTGTAGGCAAGGTGTTTAGCAGTCATAACTAGCGTGAACGAGATGGCTAACGCCACGTATTCCTCCGGAAAACCCAAATGAACGAACGGATTTTAACCGTACCTCTTGTCATCAAGAGCGGGAAATTCACAACGTTATCTGATCCTTCCACGTGCACTCGGTTAAATTTGTGCTAGCCAGTTAGGTTTGAAGAAATTCACTATTGTGACAAAATATTTGAGAGATTCGATAAGCTATTAGTTTGTGAGGATTTTCGGACTGATGTCTTCCATTCTATAATAAAAACCGTGAACTGCACACGTCCAAGACGCAAGTCTAACATAAACGAACTGCTTATGGTACTGGCCATGAAAGTCAATAGGCCTAATGAGCAAACCTGATTGGGTACCATAAATTCCGCCATTGTCATTTTATCTTGTGAGGTAAAAAAATTCATTTTAAAAGAGCAACACAACTCTTTGCCTGATTTTCCGATAGAAGTCATTCTTATTGTGAGTTACTTATTAGAGAAGTAACGTGTTCCCGCTTTAAAGCTGAGGCATTGTTTTCAGCTTTCGTCTGTTCTTTATTCGTCATCGCAGTATTCATCTAGAGTTCTGTGACAACCATCCAGTAATATATTTTCACCATAAAATTATGATGTTGACTACCGCCAATCACGGATGTCAACAGGACTGAGATGTTATCCAGCTGAATTTTGAACAAGTTCACAGTCAGCGAATATACACTCATTTGCAAACTAATTTGGTTTTTTCGAGAGACTCACCCGAACCCAGTTCACAATTATTTGCCAAACATTGTGAGCATGCTATGAATTTCATGAAACTAGGATTGCAAGAACGTGGTGTATTTTACCAATTATAGCCATACTAAGCACCCAAACAATTTACGTGCTCAGTTCCACGAATTCAGGAACAAAGATGCGCACCCAAGGCCTGCTTGATAAACGGTTTCTAGTGAATGTCATATGATTCCCGTGCTATGTTGCTTCGATGACTGCTGAGAAATACTTCGCGTCAACTCAAACACAAAACCAAGTAAGACTGCGTAATGTGCCTTGGATTGGTAATCCCTTATCGTAACTTTTTGCATTGAGGTCCACGTAGCCGCATGGTAAATCTATTTGCTGAACCCATAGCCATGCAATCGCGGTTACTCGGACGAAAACGAATCCAGAACTCATACAAACGACTCCTGATTAAAGGTCTGTAACTGGGGTCTGGCAGCCCGTGTTTGTAGACGGTCCAGAATATCCCAAATCGATTGCCACAGAAAACGGTAATTACACAGTGAAGAATATGCTATGAAAATGCGTCAAGCTGTTGTCTTCTGTGGTGTTCCCTCTCCTTGGGTTCTCAGCATAAAATGGTCGTTGGCTTGTTCGCTGAGCTGGGTAATTTGATTGCAAACGTTTCATCAGCAATCGAGGTGGCATCATCAGTGCGTTAGTGGGGAGCGTAGTTGTGCGTAGTGGTGGATTAGTGGTTGTGCGTTCAGTAGTGTTACGTGTGTTGATATACATGCTGGTAGCCGGAGATCACCTTTGACCGCGATTGGTTATTCGGTCGGGCGGTTCCATTGGTTGTTCTTTTGTCCCGTGTCCTCTTTCGCCGATGCCCACGTAAACTTTGAACTTGGCATCCCTCGCCGTCGTAGTCTGGTCGATGTTGGAGTGACTTTTGTCCTTCGGAGTTCCGGCCTGTGACCTTTATTGATTTGACTCCGAGGAGTTCCTTGTTTCTTCGTTTGTGAATCCAATATTCGGTCCTTCTTGAGTGTTCCGGTTGAGATGTTGGTCTTTTGCACGTAGAGGTGCGTAAATTGGATCCAGTTCGATGCACCGGTTGACTGAATCTGCCTTGGAGTGCCATGCTTCCAGAAATTATCTTTCGTGCCGCGTGTCTCCATATGCCAAAATGTTTGCGTTTTCTAGATTGAATTTGTGGCGTTCTTAATCCTCGTGTATAGATATCAAGGACAGAGGGTGATGCCTCCTGACAGCCGCGTTGTGTTCCTTTTTTCGTGTACACACTATCCTCCCAGTTTGTCCAACGGAGAATTTGGTGCGGTCGTTGCAGTGTATCACATTGTTCCTCTTGGTTTTGTCCCGGTTGCCCTTCGGTATGGAGATTAGTTTCCTTAGAGTGGCACTCGGTTTGTGTGCCACGAAGATTCCTTTTTGAGCCAATTATCTGGTTGCGAGTTCTGATATATTTTTGATGTAAGGTAGGACTACCCGTCTGGTGGCTTGTTCTTGCTGTGGCTGTTGTTGAGATATCTTCTTCTTCAAGGTTCTCTTGATAAAAACTCCTTGGATATCCATTGTTCTGGAACACTCTGAATAGATGGTTTTCCTCCTTCTTCCGTAGTTCTGTGGTGCTGCAGTGTGTCTCCGCCCTCTTGAACAAGGTTCGGACGCAGCTACTTTTTACTGGATGATTGCTGCTGTAGTTCAGTATTTGATCCGTATAGGTCTTTTTGCGGTATAGGGCAGGTTTCCAGAGTCCCATCCAACTTCCTGTTCACTAAGACGTTTGAGAATATTATACGATTGTTTCTTTCCAGTCCGAACGGCAAGCATTTTGCCAATAAGAGCCCTAATAAGCACCCAAACAATTTACACGCGCAAATGCATGAAATCTGGAACAAACGTGCGCAGCCGATTGCCTGCCTGATCAATGTTTTCTGCTGAATGCCACCGGATTCCCGTTCTATGTTCCCACTCGTGCCTCCTGAAACTATCTTCTCGTCAAGTAAAAAGCATGACCCGATCATCCACGCTCGGATACTATGTGAGGCTGACATACGGTTTCGTCTGGGGATCATAGTGTTTCCAGAAAACCATGAAAATAGGGTAGTACTCGGAGATGAATCCTTGTTTTGGACCCTTTCCGAGGCTGATTGCTCTTCCAACGATGTTGTTCCACACCCAGAATCAGTGGAAAATATTGTACAAATATTGAATATATTGCAATATCTCACCGGCCTACTAATGAACAAAATACTTGCTTTGTGGATCAGCTGGTTTATTAGTAGCAGTGAGTTCAGATAAAAAACAATCAGC